TAAGATTTAATTATATAAAAAAATTAATCATTATATTATATTATATTATATTATTACATTATTTTAATTTGAAAATAATTATGTATTATATTTTTTTTTTCAATTTTATTTTTTTGATTATATACAATTAAAATTATAATTACGTATTATATTTGTTCAATTTTGTTTTTTCAATTATATACAATTAAAAATTTTAATTTATGAATATTTATTTATGTATTTCTGTTTTTGAATTTTTTTTATTAAAATATATTTTCCGGATAACAACACAATATATATAGGAATTATCTCTTTTTATTTTTAAATATATATTTATATTATGGATAATTCTTATCATTATTATTAATTTAAATGATTTATCTAATCAAATAACTATCAATTTCGTTTTTATTTATGTCTAATTTATATATATTATATTCATTAAGGGTATAATCGATATTAACCACTCCAACTTTTAACGTGAGAGCTCCGTTGCGAAAAATCACTTCGCAAATAATAGTATAGATATTAATCTTCTTAAGCTTCAGCGATCTATTTGGAGAAAGGAATGAAGTCCAGTCATATTTGATTATTTTATTTTAATTCCTTAACTTTTTAATTCATTCCTCCAAAATGTATTCCGTCCAATAGTACAAAAATAAATTATTCTCATCAAAAAATAATTTCCTCTTATCAAAACTGAAGCCAGCAAAGGATGGGAACTATTTGTTAAACAAAGAGAAACGTTTTTGAAGAAGCAAAAAAAATTCATAAAATTGTTTCGAAAATGCTTAAATTTTATGTATTTTTTTTTAGTTATAGAAGATATTTTATGGAAACATGTCTAGTCATAAGATGATGTTGCTCTTGCTTTCGTATATTTTATTGAAACGTGAATATATAGTTAATTTTGTTAGAAATATATGATGCAAATATTTAGGAAGTCTAATCTTCAAAAATATTAAAGAACTAGAGATATCCGCGCGCCGGAGTAAATTTTTTATATTAATGTTTATTCGGTTTTAACATTTTGTAACACTATAATCTTTATTCATTATAAAATAACGAATACAAATATTGATCACTTAAATATATCATATGTTTGAATATTCAAGGTTCCGTCGGTTATGGTTTGACTGATTCAGATTTTCAAAATTTTGGTATTATGCTCCCATTAAGTTTTACTAATTATCGGATTGGTTTAGGTTCATTTTTTCGATTTCGGTTTGGATCGGATTGTAACCAAAATCTAAAATCGTCTCAAAAATATTTTTGAAATTTCAAAATTGACAAAAAGTCAAAATATTTAAATTATTTGTAAATATAATTTATAATTAGTTAAACTATCTAAACTAACTAAATGATATTAAAAATAAAAAAATAAAACAAACTACAAAAATCTTTCTTATACAACAAAATATCTTAATTACCTTGATATATTAAAAAAATATTAACATATTAGACTAATTTTAGATATTTTCGGACCTAGATCAGATTTTAAATATAACCAAATCTCAAAGTAGTAAGATCATAAGTATTGTTCTAGATAAATTATAATAACTACATTGGGTATTATGGAGAAACAAATATTAGACAAATGATCAAATCTCTAATTCTTAGTACAAACTTAAAAGGAGGTGATTTGACTTGTCATGATATTTCATTATAAAATTTTTAAGAATAAATATCAAAACTAAATTATTTAATTTGGATGAAATAATATATATAGTGCTTCCAATATTAAAAATCACTTCAATTTGAGGAAATGTAGTTCGCGGATTGTTAGGATCAAATAATATATTAGAAACTATCTATTTAAAATTTAATTTGTATACATAAAAATATATATATTAGAGTAAGCACATAAATCAAAACTAATACCTTTTGTTAATTTGCAAACTTTATATATTCTAAATGCAATATTCTACCAACTAGTTCTTAAGAAAGCATTAGGGAATTTGCTAATACTCTATCAATCAAGCCATGTGACACTCCGTTTATTTTCCATCACTCAAACACTGAAAAGTGAAAAGATATATGAAATCAGACCTATTAAATTATAAGCTTTGATCTATAGTTCTAATACAAATTGTTTATGATCCTACGTATAGAAAATTATATAAAAATTTCAAAATTCTAAATACATATAAAAACAATCATATATAAATTTTAAATTTGTCAATACTACAATTTTATATTTTTAATTTGATACATTCATCATGTGCATTGCGCATCTTATCCTAGTTTATCTATATTATAATAGTAGAATTTCTAGGCTCCACAATGCGCCACATCAGCAGTTTTGTGGATCTCACATGTATTATTAAATCACGCAGCTATCATGTTTTTTTTTTTAAATTTGAGTTATTATTTTATGAGCTTTTTGTATATAATATTTTTATGCTTTTTTTTTCTTTTGAGCCTATTGTTTTAAAGATCAAAATAGTTGGATAAACGATAAAGCTTAACAAGTTCAAACCCAAAAACAGTTGAAAATGGATCCAAAAACAAACAATCCAAAAACAAAAAAAAAACGAGTCCCACGCGGTTGTCAACGTGGATAGCTTAAAAAACCTTAAAACTGTCATATTATAATATAGCTTAACCAAAAAATAATAAAAAACAGATCCAAAAACGAACAGACCAAAAGTGAGTCCCAAGCGGCTGTCTACGTGGATGGTTTAATGAGGCTTGAATAATATAGATTATGAGCTCAAAAAATTAAATCCTTGCACATATTTCCTAATATATATTTTCAAAAAGTTTGTATGTGAAATAAAATTAAAAACAACAATATTTAAGTATTTTATTTATTTATTAAATGAATATGTAATTTCTCTTACATTTTAATAGCTACTATAATTTCATTGAAAACGTTCCTCACCAACGACTCCAGACTCCGGCGAATGGATTCTCAGAATCGATAACGCCGTAGATAAAAATGCCACATCATTTATGAACAAAACCTAAACTTACAAAAAATCATATATAAAAAACATATCTAATGAAACCTAAACAACAAATATTAACTTAATTAAGGTTCTTTTCAAATTGATAAATCGTTTAATACCAAATATAAATAATATAAATATAGAATTATATCAAATTTCGACCTACGATATAAAAAATATTTACAGCATAAATAAAAACACCTACTTTTACGCACTAAAAATTATATTATAGCCTAGCTATTCCTATATATCTTACTTTGCATATAAATAACATTTAACACATTATATATACAATATTTTCACTTTACACTCTTGATACATTCTTTCCATTTTATTATTATTTGGTACTAGAAGAATCCACTAAACCAACAAGCAGAAAAATACAGGCAAACATACTAGATAATTTTTTTTTATATGAGAATATATCTACTCTATTAAAATAGAGTCATTCTTTTTATCTACTAATACAAGTTGTCATTTAAATTTGGATCCTTTCTAGAATGTTACAAATAATATAAGTCATATAATTGATTGAACCGTATTACTTAAATTAAACTAACACAATTAAAGAGACGACCTTAATGTAAATTAACTTCAAAATACGACAGGTATCTATGTGCATACCAAAAACACATATTTTCTCCTACAAATATGGAATGTTCTAAAAGAATATATATCATAAAAATATCGAATATGGAAATCTACTAATTATACTTAAATTAAACCAGTGGTTATTTATGGAATATAGTCTTGGGCTTACTTTTGTTTTTTGAACAAATTATATAGTTTGGTTTTTGGGCTTCGTATTAAGAAAAAAACGTCAAAAACATTTAATAAACTTTTCACCTTAAAAGATCAAAAAATCAATTATTATTTTCAGACCCAAAAGATATTTAATATTTTTAACAAAACAAAATTATCTATTATTAATCATTTATTTAAATCATGTACTTTAAAACATGTTAATATATTTTTTTATTTTAAATAATAATCACATTTTTTTTTGATAAATTTCAATGGTAACTTTTAAATAATTTATTGTTTTATTTTTCTTAAATAATTTGCTGACTAAAAAATGTAAAGCAAAACCAAAAACCAAATCTAAAAACTAAAATCCAAAACCAAAAGCTGAAAACACATGTTATAATTTTTGCTTTGTTTATTTACAAAATAAAATATTTCAATATTTTTTAAAAAAATTTGTTATCATCTTTTCAGTTTTAAATTATATGTTCGATTATTTGAGATTTGTTTGTTGGTAATATTAGTTCAAACTAACTCAGCGGGTTTAAAAATTAAAAACCAAACCAAAAACTGAGAATGAAAAGTAGAAACTTTAAAACTAAAAACCAAAACAAAAATCTAAAAATAAAAACTAAAACTAAAAACTAATGAAAAATAATCATCACCACAAATTTTGGTGAACTGATTTTATATCAAAGTATTCTTAAATTAAGACAAATCCAATTATATAAATTTTTAATCATAAAAAATTTATGCGCTTTTCAAGCGTGAGTCAAAATCTAGTATATATTAAAACATTGAAAAGGAAAAAGGTTTTACAGAAGAAAGAAGTACAAAGTGGTTGTTGCAACTATACAATCGTTTGGAAAACGAAAATAGACAAAACTATTGGATAGATGAAAATTTTCGTTTATTTATGTGATTTATTGTTCAAATTTTTTTAAGACAGACTCTAGCAATTTTTTCACACTACTGGTTATTTACTAAAAATGACTACTGTTTCTGTTAACCTCCATGATCCATATGTAACTAGCAAAAGGTATAAAAAGATATTTTGGTCAAATTAAACAAATATACGGTTTGAGAATTGATCTGTTTTTTATTTTCTTTCTAATTTGGTCTCTCTATAATTACTGTCCAAGGATACGGAGGTTAACATTTGTACATCTGCTCATCTTCTTATCCTTATCCTTTTCAACACGAGTGGTCTAACCGACAACATTAGGAAAGACAGATAGTATGGTCAATCTTTATTATTCTTTCTTGGCATCAATAAAATGGTAAATCTTTGTCAAAACTCTCAGACAATCCGCTCTCTCTTTGATACATACATGTACCTAAAAATATTCCTATTATCTTGCTCTACTTTATAGCCCTGACAACTCCCTTTTACGTACTTTAATCATTTTGCATCTCACTTTCTTGATCACCCTTTCTCAAAACCACAGAGATCTTGATTCTGTAGACTCACTCTTGTTTCCAAGATGCATCAATCTGGCGAGACCGTACGATTCTTGATTCACCTCTTTAACGGAAGATGGTTCATGGTGTTTGCATCTTTCCTCATCATGGCATGCGCTGGAGCCACTTATCTCTTCGGGACTTACTCCAAAGACATCAAATCCACACTTGGTTATGACCAGACAACGTTGAACCTGTTAGGTTTCTTTAAAGATCTCGGGGCAAACGTAGGAGTCATGTCAGGACTCATAGCGGAAGTCACACCGACTTGGTTCGTTCTAATCATCGGCTCCGCGATGAACTTCGTCGGTTACTTCATGATCTGGCTTACCGTTACAGGGAAAGTAGCGAAACCAAAAGTTTGGCAGATGTGTCTTTACATTTGCATTGGAGCCAACTCTCAGAACTTTGCAAACACGGGAGCTTTGGTTACTTGTGTTAAGAACTTCCCTGAGAGCAGAGGAGTTATGCTTGGTTTGCTCAAGGGTTACGTTGGGTTAAGTGGAGCAATCATGACGCAGCTTTACTTTGCTATTTACGGTAACGATTCAAAGTCTTTGATTCTATTAATCGCTTGGTTACCTGCTGTGGTCTCCCTTGTGTTTGTGTATTCCATAAGAGAGAAGAAGGTCGTGAGGCAGAGGAATGAGCTTAACGTGTTCTACAATTTTCTCTACCTCTCTATCTTCTTGGCGTTGTTCCTCATGGCTATGAACATCGCTGAGAAGCAAGTTCATTTCACCAAAGCCGCTTACACGGCCAGCGCTACCATCTGTTGTGTTTTGCTATTTGTGCCTCTTACGGTTGCGGTTAAGCAAGAGATCGAAGTGTGGAACATGAAGAAGTTGCCTGTGGAAGAGCCGAGCGAAGTCAAAGTTGAGAACCCCAAGAAAGAACTTGTTCAAGAAGACAAGGAGATGAAGTCTTGTTTCTTGACGGTTTTTAATCCACCACCAAGAGGGGAAGATTACACAATACTACAAGCATTGTTAAGCCTCGACATGATAATCCTATTTGTCGCCACGTTCTGCGGTCTAGGGTCGAGCTTGACCGCTGTAGACAACCTAGGACAGATAGGGGAATCCCTAGGCTACCCTAACCATACGGTTAGCTCTTTTGTGTCTCTAGTTAGCATATGGAACTACTTCGGTCGAGTCTTTTCCGGTTTTGTCTCGGAATACTTGCTCGCCAAGTATAAACTACCCCGACCACTCATGATGACATTTGTCCTTTTACTAAGCTGCGTTGGACACCTTCTCATCGCGTTCCCTGTGCCAGGCTCGGTATACATAGCGTCCATTCTAATGGGATTCTCTTTTGGTGCGCAACTTCCTTTACTCTTTGCCATCATCTCGGAACTTTTCGGGCTCAAGTACTACTCTACATTGTTCAACTGCGGACAGCTAGCTAGCCCGCTCGGGTCTTACATCTTGAACGTTCGTGTCACGGGGATGCTTTACGATAGAGAGGCCTTAAAGCAGTTGAAAGCTCGAGGGCTAACGCGAAAAGATGTAAAAGACTTGACTTGCATAGGAAGTCAATGTTATAAATTGCCGTTTGTGATTTTGGCTGCGGTGACCTTCTTTGGAGCTCTTGTGTCTTTGGTTCTAGCGTTAAGGACGAGAAAGTTTTACAAAGGTGATATTTATAAGAAGTTTAGGGAGAGTTCTGAGTCTAATTCTGTATTGGTATCTGATTCAAGAAAGTCTTGATGATGAGGAATAAATAATTTGTTTGTTGTAATTATTATGTTGAATTATAGATGAATATATTTTATTAGTATTTAGTAGAGAGCTCTGTTCGTTATTTATTTACTTCAACGTGGTTTAGTTTTTCTTTAGTTGAACTTAAATAGTGGAAGCGTTTTTGTTATATTAGGGTTACTTTCTAATGGTCCATTTAATATACTACAAAAGGTAATAGTAATCATGTGGTAGTGCAAAAACCGTAATCATTCCGAAACCAACGTTCACGTGTTGTTGCAAATGTTACATCGTAAGAGCTGTCATTTTCGCACTTCGCGTCTGTCTCACTCTCACCAACTATGGGTGACGCATCACGCATGCGGGGTTAGATAGAAGACCTTTTTCACATCATTTTATCCGATTCACATTTGGGATAGTTGTGTTAATTTGGACATTGAAGCGATAGAGTCAAAAGCCTATACTTTTCGTCACTCTTTTGAGAAAATTGTAAAGTTGTGAGTTAGGTTTGTGGATGGAGACTGAGTCTTAGCACATTGCGGTTCATGTGCGTGTCCTTGTAAGGTTCATGTGCACAATGGAGATAAGGGGTAATAATGTCATTTAGTTGTATGTTTCAGTGATAAAGTGTCTCTCTAAGATAGATTTTCAAAGAAAGTGCTCTTTAGTATAAAGTTCTCAGTTAAAATCTCAGTGATTTCGAACGAATTCTCTTAGTATAAATATATCAATACCGTGTTCACCGTCGAGGCTTTAAATGTATTGTTCTTGTTTACGCATGCATATGTATTTATATACTGCATATAATTTGTTTTGGACCCCAAAAATCATCAGTGATGCAGAACCTGGTCACCTCTTCCGGCTAATGCAAATGCAGCCTCCCGCCCAAGGGCCTCTGGTTATCAGTCTTCTTTGAGGCCTTTTGATTCCTTTTGCAGGTCCCAGCTTAAGGTGGCTCAGCCATTTCAACTCTTCAAATGTCCAGTGCAAAGTAACACATCTTTAATCTTAGCATTAATTTAGTTTACTAGATTAGTCCTATTATGTTCTACAAGCTTTTTTAATCTTTTTTTGCGGCTTGTACAACCAATTTAGCTTCTTGAAGCTTTGTGTATTCCAAGTTTCATCACTTGTAATCTCTTTCATTACTAGCTAATGATATTAATAACATTCTTAGCAAAAAAAAAAAAAAATCATCAGTGTTTTATTTTTATTAATAAAATATTCCTCAAACGTTTAATTAATTTCTAAAAAACTCTACACCTAGAAGGAATCATTGGGCATTCGTTCACCAGCATTGTTGTTATTCTTACGGTACATATGTGGTAAATATCACACACCTTGATAAGTTTTGTTTTTGAACTGCACCTTGATAAGTTCACAATTATGTAATAACCTTATTTTGATATGCTCTGCCTCATTGTTATGAACAATAATGCATTGAACATGCTTCATCATAAAATAAATTAAAATTTAGTTGCGAAACTTATATGAAAATAAGTTGAAAGATAAAAATACTATTAAAATTTCAATTTTTGAATACATATTTTATTTTGAGAAAACCACTGAGAACTTTCACAACTAGAATCTATCAATTTAGATATTAAAAATAAATGAAAAAGAGATGAAATGAAACTAAAATAGAGAGGTATATCATATGAAAGAACATTTGCATAGGACTTTCAGAATCACCTATAATTTGTCATATTCTCATTGGTTCAAAGAAATTTATTCAATAAATAAAAATGAGAGATAATATATTAATATATCCAGACACATCCAATCTGATATTTGAGAAGTTATTTTGCTGGATTGTCATGTTATCATGATTTTAGATTATTATTTTTATTTGTCTTGTTTTTCTAATTTTTAGAAGTTTGTTTGTCATTTTTTCTATGATTTTAGGTTGAATCATTAGTTTTAATAAATATTTATTTGAATTTTTAATTTTAAATAATTTTAACCGTGGTTTAATAAAAAGTTTCATTATCTTTAAGATAATTATTATCAAATTTTAGCAACAAGTTTATATCTGTGTTCATCTTATGTTTGCTTTAATATTTTGAAGAAGTGATTTTTCTGATATGTCATATTTTTCATAATATTAGGTTATTTTATTTATTTTTCATGTTTTGTTATTTTAAAAGATTATTTATATATTTTCTCTGATTTTGGGCTGAATTGTTAATTTTAATAAATATTTTTTAAATTATTAATTTTTAAATAATGTTAGAAACCAAATGCATAATTCTTATATAGTTTTAAGATAATTAGTTCAATATAACTATAATAAAAAGTATCAACTTATATCTTGTGATTAATATTTGAATTAATCATATAAATATCAAAATTAGAATTGATTGGATATATATTAATCCGCATAATGTGCGAATCATTATTTGGTGTTAGGTATATATACCCATGCTCTCTCTTGACCTTTGTAGCTTTTTGTCATTGTTCTACCTATTTAACCCTTATCTCAAGTGCACGTGGCCTAAAAAAGTGGCAATGTTGATATCTATATAAGACCATCCGCAATGGCGAATCCTTACGGGGAATCTTTAGAGAAATATTAATTTTATAATCAATGGGTCCCATGAACAGTTAAGGATTTTATCCTAAAAATCCTTATGTAAGGATTGATCCTTACACTATTCATGGGCTCCACTGCCCACATGGCGGTCCGTGAGTGGTCAGTTTATTTTTTTTTAAAGAAAAAATCTGAAATATCCTTATATAATCCGAAATACCCCTTTTTCTTTTTTCCTAAGGATTCCTCCCAAGGATCCGCCATTGCGGATGCTCTAATACGGCCTCAAGATAGTAGGATCCTAATCACATGTGAGTATACTAGTGAGTGGCTTTTAAACCACACAATTTATAGTGCTTTTAGCGACATAATTTCAAAGATTTGGTTGAACATATCTAAAAATGAAAGTTAAGGGTTCAAGTTTCTTAGGTTGTTTTTTCATATTTTTTAGAAAAAATTATAAATAAATAGTTCTATTTTTTTTGTTGGTTTCCAGCTCTGAAATTTATAGGGTCAGAATTAATCACTGTGTATGATGACAAATAGTTAATACTAATGATAAGTCAGTAGGTACCAGCTAAGTATTTGTATAGATGTTATCATGCATGCTAGTGTGTGTTAGTAGTAATACGAAAAAATTAGCTATCAATCCGTGAGTAGATGTAAGTATGTAACCAGTACAATGTATATATCTAAAGGGCCAATTAGAGGTTAAATATTCAGTAGCGCAGGTAGTTATGGATTTATCTATGTATATAGAGGTTGTGAGTTGAGCTGGAACTGTTGTGGTTTAGGGAACCCCATAACAGTCCAGCGGATTAGGGAGATTGATAAAAAACATTCTCCCGATTTTCTGTTCCTTATGGAAACAAAAAATGCTGATGATGTTGTGCTGGATAAATTAAAAGAGCTTCGTTTTGATTCACATTTTATTGTCTCAGCCACTGATACTGGAAGCGGAGGCCTTCTCCTTATGTGGAAAAATGAATCGAATGTCCAAGTTCTGAGCTCCAGCAGAAATCTTATCGATACTTTAATAACTCATAAAGGAGTTAAGTTTCATGCTTCTTTCGTCTATGGCGAACCTAAGGTTGCCATTAGAAGCGCTTCTTGGGTGTCTCTATCGAATACGTTTTCGGATCGTATTACTCCTTGGTTTCTAACGGGGGACTTGAATGAAATCGTTGATAATGGGGAGAAATCAGGAGGACCCCTACGAGCTGAAGGCACCTTTGGAATGTTCCGTAATTTTCTGGCTCAACATGACCTCTTTGATCTCAAGCATTCGGGTAATTTTTTTATCATGGAGAGGTAAGCGTGGAAAGCACTTAGTTTACTGCAGGCTTGACAGAGCGTTAGCCAATAGCAGTTGGTCTGAGATTTTCCCCAGTGCTCGCAGTCACTACTTGGAGTTTCAAGGGTCGGATCACAGACCTCTCATGTCGTTTTTTGACTCAAAAAAAACAGAAGAAACGGACGCTCTTCCGGTTTGATAGACGACTCAGGGACAATGTGGAAGTGAAACAATTAATCACAGAGGCTTGGCAATCTCAGCCGAATGCATCGGTAGAGTACCGGCTATCCCTCTGTCGAAGAGCTATATCCGCGTGGAGTCGGGAACAAGCAAAGAATAGCAAGGTCACCATCGAAAGGTTACAGAAGGAGCTTAACGATGTGATGACAAACCCAACGGGTTGCGACTCCATGATCTCGAGGATAAATTCCGAGCTTCTTTCAGCCTATCGAGCAGAAGAGGAATTTTGGCGGCAAAGAAGCCGCCTTATGTGGCTGGTCGCGGGAGACAAAAATTCCGGTTTCTTTCATGCCGTGGCAAAAGGCAGAGGAGCCCGTAACAGAATCTCTGTGCTTGAAAACTCAGCAGGAAATGCCTTGTTCGAGGAAGGACTTATTGCTCAAGAGATCGGCGATTACTTCCAGCATATCTTTACGACAGCCTCTACAGGACAGGATGATAATGCAGTGGATGCAACAATTTCTCGGGCGATTAAACCCTGTATTTCACCAGAGATTAATGAGAAACTGCTTGAAACTCCTTCTATGGCAGAGATTAAGAGAGCATTGTTTTCGATCCACCCGGATAAAGCGCCAGGTCCGGATGGTTTCTCTGCTTGTTTTTTTCAAGCAAATTGGGAGACTGTGGCAGCGGCGGTAGCTATAGATGTTACAGAGTTTTTCAGCACCGGAGTCTTACCTATGCACATCAATGAAACTCACATCCGACTGATACCCAAGACTTCAGCCTCTAAGCGGGTAGCAGAATATCGCCCTATTGCGCTGTGTAACGTTACTTACAAAATCATCTCGAAGGTGCTGTCACTGAGATTAAAGCCAGTGTTGCAGAAGGTTATTTCCGAAAATCAATCGGCGTTTGTTCCCGGACGTGCTATTACAGATAACGTGCTCATCACGCATGAGCTGTTACACTTCCTGAAACAATCCGGAGCTGTTAAAAACTGTGCTATGGCGGTCAAAACGGACATGAGCAAGGCCTACGATCGATTGGAATGG